CCAGAGCGTGCTGGAGATAATAGTGAAATGGAATCTGTTGAAGATGAAGACGATAACAAAGCTCCAGAGCTTTTTGCTAAAGCTTTAAATAGGTCTGACATGTTAGCTGCTCTACAAGATCGTACTGCACCTGGAATAGAGGTATTCAAATTTAATATTGTGAATTATAAACAAATTAAAAAGTTAAAAAAAAAAATTTTTTATAATAAGAAAAAGATTGTGCTAATCGTAATTTAAACTTTTTGAAATGAAAAATTAAAAATAATGAATTTTATTTAACATTTAATTTTACATAATGAGATTTTTAATATTGAAATTTTAATTATTCAAATTTACTTAATGTTTTATATTATATAAAATGATTTACATATAATAATAATATATATATAGATAATTTTTTAAAAAAAAATTATGCAATATTATGTAAAATTTCAAATTCTAATAATTAAAATTATTTTACTATATCTATTAATATAATTGGTTAATATTATAAATTTTTTAATTAATTAAAAATATAAAAGAGATTCCATACAAAATTTAAAAAAATATTAATGTTATTACTATAAATTTTTAATATCATAATTTGCTTGATCGTATGTATATAATTTTGTTTTATATTTAATTATATTTCATTCCTTTTTTATTTTATTTAAGTTAACATATGTTATGAAATTTTTGCTTGATAATTGACTATTAGTATAGACTATAATGTGCATTACAGTAGATTATATCATAATGTTTTTTTAATTATTTATATGTTAAATGTTTCAATTATAATCAAGTATTTATAATTAAAATATTGTTTGTAATATTTTTTAATTTTTTATTATATCTTATATTTTTCCTTAAAAAATCAAAATTTTATAAAATCAATTTAAATATTTTGCTTTAAATTAAATAATTAGGATAGAATATGTGTTAGATAAATATTATTTGGATGATATATTATTATATTATTATATTCATTATATTAATCATTTTGATAATATAAATAAAAGAAAAAACAATATTTAAAAAGATATTTTCAATTTTTAGCAAATGCAGAATCTTCCAGCTCCTGTAAAACGCAGAATTAAAGCTTTGAAACAATTACAATTAGTTACAACTAATATTGAAGCAAAATTTTATGAAGAAGTTCATGCCTTGGAATGTGCTTATTATAAAATGTGTGCCCCTCTTTATGAAAAAAGAAGTGAAATAGTATCTGGTGTTTATGAACCAACAGATGAACAATGTGTATGGGAGAGTGATGATGATGAAGAAGGATTAACTAATGATTTAAAAACAAAAGTGAATCTCGAAGATGATAAAGAACAGAAAAAAGAAGAGTATGATCATTTTGTTTTTATTAAATATAATATTTATTTCATTTTTATTGTTATTATTCATTACATAAATTTTTATTTAAAAATAAATGCACTCAATTTTTATTTCAATCATTTCATGTTACAAAAGAATATTTAAAACAAATAAAAAATATTACAATTTCTAAATAATTTTATTAAGTTGTTTAAAACATTTTCTAAATAGATTTATTATATTTTCTATTTTAATCTATTCTAATAAATTATGCTAAATTAATTTTTATTTCAAAGATTTCTTATTCTAAATTATTTGAAAAATAATTAAACATTATCCTCTACATTGATTTTCTTATTAATGAATTATTTTAGAGTTGAAAATGAAGATATTAAAGGCATCCCAGATTTTTGGCTCACAATATTTAAAAATGTTGAAACATTAGCTGATATGGTTCAAGAACATGATGAGGCAATACTCAAACATTTATATGATATTAGAGTGATATTTCTTGATAATCCAATGGTAAGTTGGAAAAATATATAGATATATATTGTTCAATTGCTATAAAATCAAAAAATTTCATATAATTTACATGCATAAGAATAATTAGATGCATGTATAAATCTTATAGTTAAAAATAATAATAAATAAAAAATATGAAGTAAAAAAAAATTTCATTAAAGATAATGAGATTTTTTATAGGGCTTTGTTCTTGAATTCCATTTTGCGCCAAATGAATACTTTTCTAATTCAGTTTTAACAAAGGAATACATTATGAAGTGTACCCCTGATAAAAATGATCCTTTTAGTTTTGAAGGACCTGAAATATACAAATGTAAGGTAAATATTATTTTTAATTTCAGTTTATATGTTTATAAATTATATACATCTATATTATTCTTTATTTTCTAATAATATTTATATAAAAAGTATTTAAAAGTATTTAAATTTACCATATATGTATATATATATATATATATATATATATTTTAATTATTTCTATAGGGATGTGTAATTGATTGGAAGAAAGGAAAGAATGTTACAGTAAAAACTATAAAAAAAAATCAGAAACATAAGTCTCGAGGGTCCATACGAACAGTAACAAAAACTGTTCAGAACGATTCTTTTTTCAATTTTTTCAGTCCACCAATTGGTAAAAATATAATTAATAATATTTCTATTTTATATTTTATTTTCATATTAAAAATACATTCATTATTCATTACAAACTATTTTTTTAGTGCCAGAAGATTCTGAAGCAGAATTAGATGATGAAACTCAAGCTTTATTATCCAGTGATTTTGAAATTGGTCATTATATTAGGGAACGTATAGTTCCTAGAGCTGTATTGTATTATACAGGTATTTTATAAATCAAAATATATATCTTTAATAATAAATTATAAAAATTATAGAATATTTAAAATTATTTTTTTAATTGTGAATATTTTATAATTTTTGTAACTCTTTCGAAAGTAATATTTTTTACAAAAATAAAAATTTTTATTTCAAACATTAATTAGTTAATTATAATTATTGAAATAAAAAATATAAATTTATGTTTATACTTTAAGCATAAAAAATCAAACCAATTAAAAAATGCAGATTAATACTAAATTTAATAAAATAAATTCAATAAATAATAAGTAAATTCAAAATATTATAAATATAAAATTAATAATAAATAAAAGAAATAATCAATATTTCAGGAGAAGGTTTAGAAGATGAAGATGAAGATTACGAAGAAGAAGAAGGTGATGAGGATGACCCTGAGGAAGAAGATGAAGATGATGAGGAGTCTTCTCCAAATAATGCACCACCAGGTGGGAAACAACAGGGAACAGATCCTAATGACTGTAAACAACAGTAGAATTACATACAGATTAAACTAAGAAAAAAAATTGTCCGTGCGTACAGTAAGCGACAACATACATACACAAACACTAACGAAACTTGACCGATAACTGCCTAGATATCCTGCACCAGTGGCTCCAACGTAATCCTGTTTGTATCAATCATCTAATCATATCATATCTCCTATTCCAGATCAAGCCTAGACTCTTCGACATACCGGTGAAAAAAAAATTATGCGTATCCTCCCTTTATCCAACGTTGACGATGAATAGAAAATATGGCTTATTAACAGCCTAAGATTTAATGTCATATAAGTATAAATGAATTGCGCTCTCCGCTCCACGTAATCATTGTCATTTTTAATTGCTTCATTTTATACTATTGTTACGTTTATATACAAACAAGAAAGTTAGTTGAATTTTTTTTTAAAACGCACGTTGACCTATGAAGAAATTTTTGGGTACTGTTAAAGCATTTTTAATACAAAAAATTGAAAAAAGCAAACAGCAGACAGCGCTTTGTTTCTTCTTGTCGTATAACAAACATATAGTGCCATTTTCCTCTCCTGTTTCTCTTTTTTTTTTTTTTTTTTCCATTTTTTTTTTTAATTGTTATTCTCCTTTAAGTTCTTAGTATTCCCTTAAGTTACATAAAGTCTTTTTATACGGTTTTATACTAAATTGTTTTCATTTCAATTTGTTATGGATTTGAATTATACTGGATTTTGAAACTGATCAAACTTGTCTGTATTACCTTTATAATAAGTTTTATAAAGTTTCATAAAATACTTAAATTGTATTTAAGATTATAAAATATGCATAAGTTAAATAAATTTTGATAATATTAAAAAGGTAAGTATTAAAAAATATATTATTTAAGAATTTTTTTATTATATTATTATTAGTATTTTTTGCATTAAAAAAATTATAAATAATTATTTAATAATATAATTATTAATATATATATAATAAATATATATTGACTTAAATGCTTATAAAATTGTTGGATATTTTTAGAAATTTTAAATATTAAATAATCTAAACAATTGAAATGCAAACATATCGATTATATATAAATATATAAATAAAGTGAGATGAAGATAATGTGAAAAAAACGCAGCTGATCAATTAACAATATTATATTATTGTATTATGATTATCACCGAATCTATAATAAAAAATTTAGAGAAAATCTATTTATGATTTTAATATGATTATGATGATTTAATATGATTATTAATATGATTCATGATTTTAAATATACTATTGAATCTATTAAAATTTTATCGCAATATAATAAATAGTGCATTATATATCAAGATATATAAAAAAAAAATTTTTTTAACTTTTTATCTTATATATCTAATGCGATAACTTGAATAAATATTTTAAACTCTTCTTTAAGCACTTCATTGAAATGTTTGATTATGGATAATTGATACTACGATAAATTAACTTGAAAAATAAAATATATGATATTTTTATGTATCAACTTTTTTTTTATTTCGTTATCTAGAATTTTTGTTAGAAAAATATATTATATTTTTATAAACATCTTATAATTATGTAATTATGTATGTTCTTTTTCTAAAGATATAACAAATTTATTTTTTATTTTCTATTTTTAGTTAATACATTTTTAAAAAACTATGGATGAGAGATCATTTAATTTATGATATTATAATATTACTTTTTAGTTAGCGAGATATTAAAATCGATTTTAATATTTTTCTTTTTTTAACAATAGAAACATAAGTAATTTTAAAGATATTTAAAAAAATATTTTCTTATATTAAATGTCAATGCATATAAAATATGATTTTCTGAAATAAAAAATATATTGAAATCACATTCAGTGACATCTTTGAAGCTGCATAATAATTAAATTTACAGGTCATTGCTACTTGACTTTTTATAATTTAACGGAATGATAATTTTACTTGTGATAATGCAATACTGAAGTGTATTGATAAGATTTATTTTTTCTTTTTTTTAAGCAAAGATAATTGTGCATTTTGATGTGAATGATTTGTGAAGTTAATATGTCTGAAAAAGATCAACAAATTTTAAAACAATTTTATAATTGTTGTATTTTACGTGATGGAAAAATTTTAAACGAAGATTTATGGGTTCGTGATGGAAAAATTGTAAATCCAGAGAAAATTTTTTATGATGAAAAGATAAAACCAAATATAAGAATCAATTGTAACGGAGCGTTAATTTCTCCTGGATACATTGATCTTCAGATTAATGGTAAATCAATAATAAATTGAAATAGAAATATAAAATTTATTTTATTTGCATACATTTTTTTTTTATTAAAATTATTATCAAAAAATTTTTAGTTTTGAATAATAATAATATATAAAAATAATAAAATATAATATATAAATATATATAAAATATAAAAAACATTACAATATTGTATAAAAACTAAATAATATTATGTTAATTTTAGATAGCATACTGTATTTTAAAATATTTGTAGATATAATAGAATGAATATTTATATAATGTTATTGTAATAAATAATAATTTAATTATATTATGGAAATTATTATATATATAATTGTAATTATTATTTTATTTATTTTAGGCGGATTTGGCATAGATTTTACACATAATGTTAACAATGTACAAGAAGGAATTAATAAAGTAGCCAAAAAACTATTAGAATTTGGTGTAACATCATTTTGTCCAACTTTGGTTACATCACCTAGTGAAACTTATCATAAAATAATTCCAAATATTAAAAGAACCAAAGGTGGAAAACATGGTGCAACTGTATTAGGTATTCATTTAGAAGGACCATTTATTAGTCCAAGTAAAAAAGGAGCTCATTTAGAGTGCCACATAAAACAATTTGAAAAAGCAAGTTTTACAATTATTTTTAATGTGTACATCTGATATTGTGTTATGATTTTAAAAAAATTTTTAATTTTTTTATTAATAGTATTAGATTTTTATTAATATTTTTTATTTATCTCAATATGAATTTTAGGGTTACAAGTCATTAACTGATATGTATGGAAGTTTAGAAAATGTAAGTCTTATTACATTAGCACCTGAACTTCCCAATACCCAGTCTGTGATCATAGAATTATGTAAAAGAAATATTAAAGTTTCTCTTGGTAAGAAATAAATTATCATTTTTATTAATTTAATATCATTGTAAATTTAAATATTTTAGGACATTCTGTAGCAAATTTGAAAGAAGGAGAAGAGGCTGTAAAAAGTGGAGCATCTTTTATTACTCATCTTTTTAATGCAATGTTACCAGTAATTATATATATTCATATATAAAATATGAGAATCAGTTTTTATTTTAAGAAGAATGCAATATTATAAAGTAAATAAATTTATATTTATAGTTTCATCATAGAGATCCAGGATTAGTTGGTCTCTTAACATCTGATCAAATCTTCCCTGGAAGAATTATCCATTATGGTATAATTGCAGATGGTATTCATACCCATCCAGCTGCATTACGTATAGCTCACAGAACTCATCCTGAAGGTTTGTATATTTTTTTCTATTATTACTTATCTTTCTTTTACATACATATATATTTATTCAATCATTTTCGTTCTTAAACTCAATTTTTATATTTTTTTAAAATTATTTAAATTAGAATAATATAATAATAAGATAATAAGGTTACTTGAATTTTTCTTATATATATATATATAGTATATATATTAGTATATATATACTATATATATACTATAATAATTATCTAATTTTAATTTATCTATTTAATAAATAATTTAATAAATAATTAAATTTTATATTATATATTTTATATTCATATAAAATAAATATAAAAATTTTTTAAATAATTATTTAATTTTATATTTTAGGATTAGTACTAGTTACTGATGCATTGTCAGCATTAGGATTAGAAGAAGGAGTACATCAATTAGGACAACTTAAAATCGAAATACGCTCGGGACGTGCATATATTGCTGGAACGGATACATTGTGTGGGAGTACAGCGGAAATGACGAAATGTGTTCGTCATTTTAAAGAAGTAACAGGTAGTTCAAATATATATATAATATTTATGTTATATGGATTTCTTTTATTTAAATTAATTCTTTTTAAAAAGAAAATTTTATTTTTAACAAATTTTCTATTTTCTAGGTTGTTCAATAGTAGAAGCTTTAGAAGCAGCAACCCTTCATCCGGCAAAAACTCTCGGTATTGAAAGAACGAAAGGAACTTTGAACTATGGAGCAGATGCTGATATAGTAATGTTAGATAATGATTTAGAATTATTGTCAACATGGATATCAGGAGAATGTGTTTATAATAAACACAAATGCTGCCGATGATATATATTATTTGAATAAATATGATTTAAAATATGATTCCATTATCGATTCGAAATTGTTAATATTATTCGAAATGGTGGCGGAATTGATTTTATAAAATAATTGTTTATCTAGAAAATTGTATAAACATTCAATTTATAACATTTATATGTCTCAAATATCACAGTTTTCTTGCACAATGGCTGTGAATATTGTTGTAATTATATTTTGTTCATTTATGTATTCATATTTATGTATTATACATATATTTTGTATAAAAGTTTTTTAGAAATGTATATTTTACTATATAAAAAAACCTAGAAAATTATGAAAATTAAATTTAAGTTTTATTATTGATGAAATAAAAGTGAAATATATTTATATCTTTATAACAAAAAGACAAAAAATTTTTTATAATTTTTGTCTTGAAATTAAAAATATTCTACATGAGATATAAATAGAATATATCCATTCTAAATAAAAATTAATTGCATTAGTTACAAAATATTTAAATAAGAAATAGTTTTAAAATAATAAATAAATTATATTTTATTCATTATTTTTTATATCATTTATTAAAAAATATTTTTAATCAAATTGAATATAAATATAAATTTAATTTTTTTTTTAATAATATTTATTTCGTTTTTTCAAAAATCATACATTTAAAATAAATAAAAAGAGAAATTTATTTATTATTATTTTTATTTATTTCATAAATATAAATGTTATGTGAAAAATATCATCTGTAATCAATATTACCTGTATTCATAATTATCACAATTTATGCCAGAAATAAAATTATATGATTAATTTAATATATTTAACAATATTTTTATTTTTATTTTTGATAACATATTTTAATATTTAACAACATTAATATTTTAATTATGCAATATTTTGTAGTTATTTTAGCAAAGTATTAGAAAATAATTTATTCATATGAAAAATAGTATATTTTTCAATGAGATTTTATATTATTATATTATTATATTGCTCATTATTTTGTTATGTTGCTATTTTGTTATATATTGATCATAATAATTATTAATTTATTTATAAAATAAAATAATGATTAAAGCTGAATTACATAAAATTTCTTATATTAATAAACGGTGTCCTTCAAATTGCATATATACGGCGAATGCCTAATACCAAATGAATGTGCTGGAGGAATGTCAAGAATTACCTGCAAAATAAATATTTCATAAAAAATTAATGCTATAATATAAAATCGAATCAAGAATTATTTTCAAAATTGAATTAAAATTCTAAAAGTATTTTCCAATATAAAAGTATTAAGATTCTTAAAATTCATCAATCAAAATATTTTTACATACTCATCTTATTAAATTATATAAACTAAAAAATTTATAATATAGTTCATATTTATTATTTATTAAATTTATCTTTGAATTTTAATTTTTTATGCTGAGATTTTCCGGATTTTTACGATTTGATACGAACCCATAATTTCGAGTTCTTGTATATTTTTAAAAATAACAATACAATTTATTCAAATGAAATCTATTAAAAAAGTTTTAAAACTTTTGAATTGTTTAGTTAATTATATTAAAATAGATTAGAAAAAAATTAGAAATACTTTTTCTGGACAATGTGCACCAGGTCCTGGAATCTGCGAATGATCGTCAGGCAGTTGATAACGAGCACTTATACTATAAGCAGGACTTTTTATTCTAACTGAATCCGGTTTAACAGCTTCATATGTTCCAGGTCCAGGAACTAAAATGCGATCATCAGTAGAATCTTTTTGTCTACCAGATATTGAATAAGCTGGTGCTGTTTTTTTATTTCCTTCCTTTGTTCCGCCGAGAGTAGAAGGAATATTATAAACATTTGGAGCTAAAACATAATAAACATAAAAACAAAATATTTATAATATTATATTAATTAACAAAAGTTAATATAACTTTTTTAATGATATAAAAACTAAAATCTTCTTTTATAATAACGATTAAAAAAATTATTACTATGATTAATTATGTAATTATATAATATTATGATTAATTTAATTAATTTTAAAGTATATATGAAAAAATTTGTTTTTTTTAAATAAGAAATATTAAATAATATTATGTTACAAATACATAACAAGAATATTTTTTATCTCAATAATAAATGCTATTTTCATAATATATTTATACAGAAAATTTTATGAGAAAACGTGCGATGCAAAAAAGAAAATGATAATAAGAAAAATAGAAATAGAATAAGCGAATCTTCTAAATTTACCTGGAATATCATTTGATTTATTTATATTTGTTCTAAGACCAAAAGTAAATAGCAATGCTTTTTCTAATAAAAGCATAGCTTTCTCTGGACTATATTCACCAGGACCTTTAAACCAAATATTAAATCTATTTAACAAATACAAAAAACAAAAAATATATTAAATTTTATATACTATACCTGGTATAGAATTTGTTTCATGTATTTCAGTCTTAATTCCAAAACTATATTGGGGTGATTTATTTAAATTTACCTTTTCAGGATGGTAACTTCCTGGAGCTAGATTTTTAATATATTAAAGCAAATAACTTTTATATATTAAATTATAAATTCTATATAAATTCTATATAAATTCTATTTATAAATTTTATGTTTAATAAATAATAATATAAAAATAAAAGTATAAAAATAATACTTAATATTACTCACCAGGTATATCATTATTTTTTTTTAAAGATGTTTTTAAACCAAATGAATATTGTGGCGATTTATCTAAATTGACTTTTTCTGGAGAATAAGTACCAGGAGCTATAAAGTAAAAAAAAATACTGATGCAATGTTAAAAAATATAACGAAAAAATATTTCAATTTATACACAAATTATATGATATATGTTATAAGACATGTAATTAAAAAATAATTTTAAATAATTAAATAATTGTAAATATTACTAATGATTTTTATTTATAATATTTTTATATTTTCATATGTTTATGTACAATTATTTAAAATAAAATGTATAAAATTTAAAAAATTTTAATATTAAGTGAAATTTATAAAAAGCTTGTAATTTTAAAATTATTTAGCTATTTAATTAATATATTCAGCAATAATATTAATTAAATATTAATTATAAAGTTATAAAGTTATAAAATTATAAAAGCAAGAAGAAGAAATTTGTAAAAAAAAAGCAGAAGCTTTGATATGTTTTAAAATAAAAATTGGAATATATATTAGAAACATAAGATTTTTGTTAAAGAATGTTTTAAATTTTGGAATAGATGTTATTAATAATTTGTTAATCAACACCATTACCTGGTGTATCTTTAGGCTTATCCAAAGGTTTTCTATTACCAAAACTGAAATAAGGTTTATGTTCCAAATTTACTATTTTCTCTGGATAGTAATCAACAGGGCCTACCAAAGCAATCAAAACATTAGTTGTTTCTACAGAATGTTAAAACCTATACCAATGAATTTTCAAAATAAGAAGCTCCAGCAATTTACCAAATAAAATTCACCTGGATTTTCATTAAACTTTTTTGGTAATCCTTTACCAGATAAACTGAATTGAGGACCTTTATCTAAATTCATTTTCTCAGGACTATATGTTCCTGGTGCTATTAGAAAAATTAAATATAAGAAGACATTAATCTAAAACAATAATATATTAAATAATAATCAATATAAAAAATATTTAAAAAAAATAAAAAATGTTCACCTGGATTATTGTTTGGTTTTTCTGAAATCCCTTTCCCATACAAACTATATTGTGGACCTTTATTTAAATTTACTTTCTCAGGACTATATGTTCCAGGTGCTTTATAATAAAAAAAATCATAAATTCTATCCAGTAAGAATTTAATGTTAATTAGAAATTTTTATATAATTAAATAATAATAAAATAAATAAATATAAAATAATAAGATAATAAGAAATAAGAAATTTAGTTATACTAACCAGGAATATTATTTGGTTTTTCAGAAAGTCCTTTACCACTTAAACTATATTCTGGACCTTTATTCAAATTTATTTTTTCTGGACAATAATCTCCAGGTGCTATAGAAAAATAATAAAAAGACAATAAAGGATTTAATTTTTTTATAAATTTCTTTACTGATAAATGAAAAAATAATAATAAAAATAATAGAATTCTAATATTTATACCTGGATTAGTATTTGGTTTATCAAGAAATGTTCTTAATCCAAAAGTATATTGTGGTGCTTTATCAAGATTTACTTTTTCAGGAGCATAAGTTCCTGGTGCTAAAAATTGTACAAAATTTTTTTTACAATTATATTTTATAAAATTATTAGATATTTTTTCAATATGATATTTAATATAATAAAATTTTTAATTTTTAATAAAAATTATATTCATATAAAGAATATATGTATTTATTTTTAATTTTAATGCAATAATTACAGATTAGAATTTTGAATTCCAAGAAAATAAATTATCATTTAATTGTTTAATTTTCAAAAAAATTATCTAAATTATATATCTTATTTGAATTAAATTTTTCGAGATTATATATATCAAAATAAAATAAGTGTATATTGATGTAAAAATAAAAAAAATTAAATCTTTTTCTTTGCAATTACCTGGAGTATCATTTATTTTTTCAAGGGGAGTCCTCAATCCAAAAGTAAATTGCGGCGTTCTATCCAATTTTACATTTTCTGGACAATACGTACCTGGTGCTGAGAATAATTTCTTTTTATAATTTATTAATTAAATAGTTTAATAATTTATCAAAAATACTATATTTCTTATTTTTTTACATATTTTTTTAAATTATTTTTAATATGTTTAAATATTTTTACAAAACTTAATATTTATTTATTTATAATGAATTTTTTAAATTTAATTTTTTTAAATTATTTATTTTTTTATTATTTTATACATATATATTTTTATTTTTTTATGTTTTAATAAATTATTGAAATTTGTATATTAAGTATATTATCAAGTTTTTCTACTCGACCTTTTCTAGTAAGACTATATTGAGGATCCTTATCTAAATTGACTTTTTCAGGATAATACAAACCAGGTGTTATAAAAATAAGTTGAAATATGTGAATGGTAATATAATTACCAAATATTATTACAAGTGCAGAATGAACATATCATCATACATGTCATCACAGATAAGATGAAATGTAAAATAAACCTATATTATAGATAAAATCTCGTCTATGATCTTTTATCATATGAAATATCTTTCTGTGATAATATGTTTATCAAAAAAGACAAGACAATTACTATTTCATTGACCAAACAAATATATGCTAAATTTATCATAAACTTATATTTATTAAGATATTTAATAAATTTTATTAAATTATACAATTATATTATTGAAAAAATAATAAATCTAAATTTA